GTTGACTTCCACATTAATAGATCAGGTGATGACATAATTCACAAAACTAGATCAGAATATCATGAGTTCAATCTCAAACAGGGTGAGTCTAAGATGTCCATATGACATTCAAGTAGAAATGGTCAGCAGGGACTGAATATTCAGGTGTGAAGTTCAGGAGAGAGGTCTGAATACAAACATGAGAATCATAAGGAATACCACAGAAACAGATGAAAATCACCCAAGGATTTATGTGAAGACTAAAGAAGACAAGACAGCAGATGGTGGAGACACACAAGTCTTTACAGAAAAAGTAGGGGGTCGGGGGGCTGGGTAAGGTCTAGAAAGGAGATTCTGAACAGCAGAAGGTCAAGTACGGCCAGACTGGGGTTAGAATAAGGGAAGGATAAGTTTTAAACAAGCGATATGGTCAACTATGCCAAACACTGTCAAGAAATGCAGTGAAATGTCCTTGGACTTAGAATTTCAGCCGTGTTCTTCCTGTGCTCCGCTTCTGATAAATACAAACAGAAGAGTTCTCAAAGCTTGGTGTTAGGTCAAGAAACCTTAAACCTCTCTAAAACCCACTCGGTTTTCTTTCTGAGCTGATTGCCAAAATCTGTGACTTGGGATAACAGCTTTTTCACCTTTTTAATCAGCGACAAGGCGTCTACTTTTCTAACTTCAGATGGCCAGGAGAGCAGTCAGTGGCCATGCATTAGTATTTGTCCTTGCCTTAAGGAATTACACTGAACAGTCTCACAGAGCCAACATCTTGACTATAATCTCCAAGAGGGCATAAGTAATGTATATCTTCTTCTCTTTGGTACCTGGCAAAGTTCTTGGCCTGTGCCAAGGAACTCAATAAATATCTGTTCAATGTGTACTCAGAGTATTACTGTGAAGTCCTCCAGAAGTGATTGTTAGGTTATTCCTCACTACTCCAGTCCCCAGAGTAAAAGCATTGCTAATATTTTTGCAAAGCTTCCTTCACTCCTTAAAGAATGCTCAAAAAGAATGTTTAGTGGGCCCCCTTGGTGACAGAGGTACTACTTAAAGCAGGAGCCACCCCACGCCCGAGGTCAGGGGCTGCAGCCGAGAGGAGCCACCCTACGTCCAAGGGAAGGAAGCAGCCGCGAAGAGATGCTTCACATCCAAGGTAAGAGAAACCCGAGCATGACGGCAGGCGGACAGGGGGGCCTGGCGTGCCGCGGTTCATGGAGTCGCAGGGTGGGGCATGACTGAGCGTCCGGACTGAACGTGTTAGAGAAGGCATGTGCCCTGGAGAAAGGTGCACTGAAGTCATTTTTGCAAATTGTGACCTGCCCTTAACATTAATTTCTTCTTAGAATTTTATAATTAAATCTCTTGAATCAAGATGAAACTATATCTATTTGTATTTATAAATAAGAGTAGAATTTACCATTTTTATATTGTTACATTTGATTAGCCTGTTGAACATTTTATGCACTTTCAAGAATTCTTCCGCAAACTCGAATTGTCTCATCAGTAAACAAGAATTTCCTCCCTTGAAATGGAATATAGTTTTCCTTTATCAAATTCATATGCCAGGTTTCTTAGCTACACACAACTGAGGAACTTGCTAGTCACTCACTTCATTTGAAATTAACCTAGCAAGTCTTTGAAAATGCTGGAAAACATTATCAACTGCCTCCCTAACTATCCACAATCCTAAGATAAATTACCTTCCTTCTTTTTAAGTTCTGTTTTAATAGATATTATCTGTAATTAAGAGACTCTTGAATTCACATGCTTTAACATGAAGTCCTTCAACAATATGAATTAGCTGCACTGGAATCATTGGGAATTCACTTGAAAATAGACGTTTCCAGACACCACTTCCCAAAATTATGATTTAGTTGTTTAACAATCTTTGGTTTAAACACTAAATAAGTAGCTGTGAACTTTTTCTTCTTCAAATATAAATATTTCTTCCCAATTATCTTATTAAAATATATCCTGAGAATCTTACTACCTGAAAATTTCTTACATATTACATTTTAAAATTATGTATCTTTCCAAATTCCCACCCTTATTTTCCATGTCAGTTCAAACCTCTGATAACAAATGCAATTCCTATGAATTCTCCTTGAAGAGGAAATCAGAGAAGTGGAGAAAAACTAGCCCCAAACTCCAACACCAGAAAGACAAAATGGGAATCTAATTTACAAAGGTCCCCAAGGATTATTCTACTCATATAACAATTTCTTAGAGGTAGAATACAGTGGGAAGAAACAGAATAAAAATAAAGGTAAATTAGTTCAGAGGCCAATTTGTTTGATGGCAGAAAACCAGCTAACTTCTCAAGGTATCAATTTTCTGATCAATAAAATAAAGAGGGTTACAAAACGATTTTTTTATGCCCCTTTCAGGCTGAATAATCTGATTAAACCAGAATACGCAAGTTTAACTGCACTTAACTCTGAAACACAGAGAGTTTCAGAAATATAAATATGTCTATAAGACATTATTATAAGCCAACACAGCAGGAAAATGAACAAACAGCAGACAAACTCACTCAAAAATATTCACTTGCTCATCTAACCACAAAATACTCAAATGAGATGGTACATATTGAATGAACAAACATTTACATGGGTCTGTCAACCATGTGCCAGATATTATACCAGGCAAAAGAAATAAGTAACTATTTTAAGTAACTTTAGAGTATAATGTAGGAGATAGACACAAAAGTCTGCCTTTGGATAATTATTAAACACATACTCCCTGGTAGCTCAATGGTGAAGAATCCGCCTGCCAATGCAGGAGACACGGGTTCAATCCCTGGGTAGGGAAGATCCCCTGGAGAAGGAAATGGCAACCCACTCCAGTATTCTTGCCTAGAAAATTCCACGGACACAGGGGCCTGGCAGACAACACTGCAAGGGGGTCACAAAGAGTAGAACACGACTAAGCAAACACAAACACGTTATTCTCTCCTCCTTGGTGATTAGCACTTTTTCTTTCCATAAATGTGTTTGCTAAAATTTCAGTTTCAGGTAGACATCTGCTCAAAGTTTAAAACTGCCACATTACATCAAGACAGGAAGTCTGGCATGCTGCAGTCCATGGGGTCACAAAAGAATGGTAAACAACTTAGTGACTGAACAGTAACAACACAGCAAGACTGTTCTAAAAGGGCTGCTGGTAACTGCTTCCCCACGGAAGGTATACTGGACAACAAATGTACTTCAGTCAACAGGTATTATACATATTTCTGATGAAAATGCTCAGAGCACAGAAATCCAGGAGTTGGTGATGGACAGGAAGGCCTGGCGTGCTGTGATTCATGGGGTCGCAAAGAGTCAGACACGACTGAGCGACTGAACTGAACTGAACACATAGACCAACAGACCAACGTAAAAACTGGAAAAATTACTGTAAAAACATTTTTAATGTTTAAGTATTATTTTTCAGGTAGAAACTGACTTCTAATTCTGAATTTTATAATTAAGCCAACTTGTCCAAAAGAAAACTTATTCCTCTTAACCAGCAAAACACAAGCATGCATACTATCTTTTTGATCAAAAACAAAACAAGTCATGCTGTTCAAGTAAAATGATCTGCTCCTCTTTCAATGCCACTTTATATATAAACACTGACAGTAACTTTTTCTTGCAAAAGCCTTGCTTTTGTCAACTAGATATCTGTGGCATGAGGAGGAACCCTAATCAAGTCTCTATTAGAAGGAGGAAGGACTATAGAAAGTTTCCTAAGTACAAACATCCTGTCTCTCTTGATTGCCTAGGCCTAGCATATGCCTGGCATATAGAAAGACATAATTAAGTGAATGATGAATTAAAGAAAACTAAAACTATACAGCAGGGAATCACAAGGATAAGACATGAGAAATTAAAGAAAGAAAAAAAGTGAAGTTGCTTAGTCGTGTCTGACTCTTTGCCACCCCATGGACTGCAGCCCACCAGGCTCCTCCATCCATGGAATTTTCCAGGCAAGAGTACTGGAGTGGGTTGCCATTTCCTTATCCAGGGGATCTTCCCGACCCAGGGATTGAACCCAGGTCTCCCGCATTGCAGGCAGATGCTTTACCTTCTTAGCCAACAGGGAAGCCCCAATTCACTCTAATAACACTGTTTAGCTTACATTTAACTGGCATCTCTAAGGAGTATTTTCCTTATGCAAGAATATTATTATAACCACCATTAAAATAAAAGATATATGAACAGGAGCACAATCCAGACTGGAATCAAAAGCTGAATCAACTTTTAAGAACATTTTGATGATTTCAGTCTATGAAGCATGAAATGTGGTGATGGAGAAAACAGCTACTCAAGTCTAATTTTACTTAGGGAAAGAAAGAAAAGAGATTACTAGTTTGAACTGCACATGTGATGCCATTCGTATTAAACTTTTAGCTACCGCTAAAACGACGTTTCTTTTAAACCAAAGAAGAGCAAAATACATGAGCACACTGCAATCTGTCAACAAGTTAGTGTATGATAAGAAGCCTATTTAAAATAAAAAAACTGCCCACGTACCCACGACATCGCAGCATGCTCGCACATACAACACACTTTCTTCAAAATAACATTCTAGATTCCTCGATTGCTAAATTCACCCACAATTCACCATGGTCCACTCCCTATCCAGTTTATTTACTGTTCAGTGTGAAAGTAAAAAATACTGGGAAGTTGACTTCTCTCCAAAGTCCACGTGAAGAAAATGAAAAAGTTATTACATTTTTGTAAAGAAAAAATGAAAACAAACTACTCACGCACAGGGGGCAAAAGCACGCATCTGGTCATCACCTTCTGGCCTAACACCTTGGCAACATGTGGCCGTGTTCATGTTTTGATCCCCACCCCCACCCTACACATTTCAGGAGCAGGACGAGACTATCAGAGACCACGGAAAAGTCTCAGGCCCAGAGAGGAATGACAGGTCCGGCCTCGCCTCCGGGGCCCAAAGACCACCGCACCTGGGGCGCCCCGGCCCCGCCTCCCGCCGGGTCCCCTTCTCCTCCCACTCCCCCTCCTCACCTCTCGGCCCCGCTTCAAGCGCTTCCCATCACTCCGCCAGCTCCTGTCTCCCTCCCTTTCGGTTTGATCTTTACTTCCCACGCCGGGTGGGGGGCGGAGGGCAGGGCAGAAAAGGCCAGAGGACAACTTCTCCGCCGCGCCCTCGTCCGCACTCCACGCCGGCCTAGCCGGATCCCTCCCAGTCCGGGGGCAGGGTCCACTAAGACGGCTCGGCCGCGGGACAGACCCACAGACCCGGCGGGCAGGGAGGGGGCGGAGCAGGCGCGGGCCTACACGTCACCCGCCCGCAGCGGCGCCAACGTCGCACGTCGGCTCCTTCAGCCCCACCCCGCGCGCGCGCGCGCGCGCCGCTGTCCCGCCTCCTGCCCGCGGAGCTCCGATCGGGACCCGGCCAGCAGCGAGGGCGGGCTCTGAGGCGGGCGCGCGTNGTGATGCCATCCAACCATCTCATCCTCTGTCGTCCCCTTCTCCTCCTGCCCTCAATCTTTCCCAGCATCGGGGTCTTTTCAAATGAGTCAGCTCTTCGCACGTGTGTACAGTTCTAGACCAAAAGCCGAGCATGCAAAGGTGGTATGAGTTAATAACGTGTTCTGGCTCCTTCTTTCTCTTCCATACATAACACTTGTAAGAAATATGCCTTGATGGCTCATAGAACCGTGTTTTATAGAGGCTGACAGTAGTGATCCAATTATACATTTCACTGGCCCAGCTATTAATTCTGGGGTTCTGCCGTTCAGTTCTAGATCAAACACTTCAAGAAGACCTCAGAGATGCTGGAACTATTTCAAAGAAGAGGAAAATGATGACGAGTTCTCAAAAGCATGACAAATGAACTTGGGAAGATTCTCATAGAAGAACAAAAGCTACTGGGACTGTCTCCAAATATGTAAAAACTCTTCATGTGACATAGATTTGTTTCATGTGGTATCAAGAGATGCATAGTTGAGAGAAATAGATTTCAGATCCTGAGAAGAAGATCCCCTTCTAGCACTCACCAGAGAAGGTGTCTGCTTTAGGTTACATAGTTGCCTTGACCACTGGATTTGACTTTTAAGTAGATTGTGAAGGTTTACTTAATAGGACCTAGGTGCAGGAGAGCCAGGCATCAAGAGAAGAATCAGTTAATGGTTTTGTTAAAGGTGTTTACAACCTGGAAAGTCAATTAGTTCGTGGTTCCAGCCTTAGAATTTACAAGTTAGCTGTGAGACAAATGCATCAAAAGGTAAAAAATGCAAGGAAGGCCAGATGATAAAGAGAGGTGGTAGCAATAAGTTTTAGGAGTTCACATGACAGATTGTTCTCATCACAGTTTCAGAAACTTAAGGGATAAGAAGGAAATTGAAAATGGACTCTATTTAGAATTGCCCTGTCCAGTAGGGTAGCCACTAGCCAAATATAAATTCTTATACTTGTAATGTGCTTTCCTGGTAGCTCAGGTGTAAAAGAATCTGCTTGTAATGCAGAAGACCCCAGTTCGATTCCTGGGTCAGGAAGATGCCCTGAAGAAGGGATAGGCTACCCACTCCAGTATTCTTGGGCTTCCCGAATGGCCCAGTTGGTAAAGACTCCACTTGCAATGTGGGAGACCTGGGTTTGATCCCTGGGTTGGGAAGATCCCCTGGAGAAAGGAACGGCTTCCCACTCCAGCATTCTGACCTGGAGAATTCCATGGACTGCATGGGGTAGCAAAAAGTGGGACCGGACTGAGCGACTTTCACTTTCATACTTGTAGCTAGTCCAATTTCAGAAATGCAGTAAGTGTGAAATACACACCAGATTTTAAAGACTTAGTACAAAGAAAAAATGTAAAATAGCTTAATTCTTTCATTAATGATGTGTTGAAATAATATTTGGTATGTAATTGAGTTAAATTTCACTTGTTTAGTTTTACTTTTTAATCGGCTTACTAGAAAAATTTTAAATTACATGAGTCACTTGCATCTTTTACTTGCATCTTATTCTATTAGATAGTCCTGATCTAGAAGGGAATATACTTCATTGAACTTTAAGAACTGTCTTTGTATTCTTAATAGTCCCTGGGGGAATTTTCTGAAACATTAACGGAAAGACAGTCTGATGACAAAGATTCCTGATGAAGAAAAGGAACACTGTCCATAAAATATGCCTTGAGCAAAGGTAAGGAAACAAGAATGCAGATGCATTCTTTGGTGAGTAAAATGTTTGTCCATGATAGAAGGTTCTTATTACAAATTAGTGACGAGTAAAGTCAGAACTAGCTAGAAAGCTGTCTATAAAGAGAGACTCAATTTTGAATTTAAGGGATTTAGTTCTATTGGCAATCAGGATTTGGCAGTTTCAAAATGGGATTGTAAGAATATCTTGGCAATATTGAGTATATTAATGGGTGGTTGGGCAACCAATTAAAATTTATTGTACTTAAAAATGTATTATACCAAAAAATGTTCAGTAGAGAGTTGATTTAAATAAATTATGGCACATCTATAAATAAAGTGGAATCTGTATTGTTTGATATGGAAACATATTAAGATGTACAGCAGAGTAAATAGTTTTCGAAACAATATATGTACACTATGAACCCATATGGGGTCTTCCCTGGTAGCTAGCAGTAGCTAATCCACCTGCCAGTGCAGGAGACACAGGTTTGATCCCTGGGTCAGGGAAAATCCCCTGGAGAAGTAAATGGCAACCCAGTCCAGCGTTCTTTCCCGGAGAATCCCATGGACAGAGGAGCCTGGCAGGCCCCAGTCCATGGGGTTGCAAAAGAGTCAGACACAACTTAGCGACTAAACAGCAACAATACAATGAACCTATATATGTAAAATTATATATGTGATGTATGTAATTAGGTCATTTTACCAAAATTACCCTAATTGTTCCAAAAGTGTCTCAAAAGTAAAATCTCAGGGTGGGATGTTTCCAACATATTTTCAGTGGCTCAACAAAGTCATCCATGTTTTTGACCCTCCCCTATCTATGTTCCATCATATTAGCATATTAGCCTTTCATTCTCAGCCTTGTCACCTCCTGGGTTGTCGGGATGGGTTAATAAGCTGCAGACTCATTTTCAGCCCGTCAATTTCTTAGTATCTCAATATGTAAGACCAGTAAGTCTGTTCAGCTCACCAGTGTCCCACAGCGTTACCTTATATGCCTTTTTTGGTTTTACCTATTCTCAATCCAGTGTCCAGCTGTCTTCCTTACTCCAGTTTGTAACATTGGATCTTAAAATTCCATCTGTGTTGGACCCCAGTGCAGCTCCCTACCTGGAGCTGACACCTAACTGCTGGGCAATACTGATTAATAAAAGACTCAATCCTAAAATAAGCCTCCCTAAACTTTTTAATGAGCTATGTTGGGAAGGAAAAATGGATCACTACCTTGGCAGACTATTGGTTGCCTACATAAACCCCATTTTTGTCCTCTTTCTTACTTAATAAAATGAGTTTGTTAGTGTTCCAAAGAACTAAAGAAATGGGAGCTCCTCCTGTTACCCTGGTAGTAATTCTGTTTCCCTTTGAATAAGACTGTTGTAGAGGGCTTCCCTGGTGGTTCAGTGGTTAACAGTCCCCCTGCCAGTGCAGGAGACATGGGTTCGATCTCTAATCTGGGAAGAGCCCACATCGCTCAGAGCAACTAAGCCTGTGAGCCACAACTATTCAGCCTATGCTCTAGAACCTGGGAACTGCAACTGCTGAGCTCAAGTGCCACTACTATTGAAGCCTGCGTGCCCTAGAACTCCTGCTCCTCAACAAAAAAAGCCACTGCAATGAGAAGCCCACCCTCTGCAACTAGAGAAAAGCGCCCACAGCATTGAAGACCAAACACAGCCAAAAATAAATTAATAAATATTTTTTTTTTAAATGTTGTAGAGGGGGTCCTGTGACCAAACTAGGGAGGATTCTGTAACATGTTTTACCCAAATGGCAAAAGTGCTTATAAAATATAGAGTTATTCTTGGGTTTCTGTTCAAGATGATTGACTTGGCATATAATCTGCCAGCTAGTCTCTCCTAGACATTCCTGAAATAAAAATGTAGAAGTAGAAAACCCAAAGAATAAAGATATGTGTTTGTATGTATGTGCTTAAGTTAGGAGTAGGTAGCAAAGGGGAGAAAAGTAAATGAAATGTCAACAGTTTTCTGGATCACAAAGCTAATAGTGGTGCTTTGACTAGTAATAACACCCAAAGCCATTGCCTAACAAAATATAGTGAAGAAGCTACAGAAGAGTTGGTTGGAGGCCTGGCAAAGGGCAGAAGTGAGAATAAGGGCTGAAAATGGAGATAACCTAAATATGGTACAACTGAATCAACACCACACACATTTCCTTCTCTCATCCATGCACACAGAGAGTAGACAAAGACACATCTACCAGCAGAGAAAAAGAAAAACCAAAAGACCCCAAAGTCTCCTTCAAATTAATTGTACAAATTGTAGAGAAGACATGAAGACTTCCATGTTAACTCAGAGCAAAGCCACTGTTATTCAGGCATTCAGGGCCACCGTCCAGAAAACCAGTTACTTGCCTTGCCGTCAGAAAGTGAAGCCTGATATCTGGCATCGCTGGCCCTTCCCTGTTCAACCTTGCTAATTATTCTGAGTTTCCACACAAGAGAGAGAACTGGAAGAAGTCCTCCTTATTAAAAGCAAGGGAAAACCACAACGATGACCAGCTCTTTGTATATAGGAACCTACAATGAAGAATCAACAGGCAAATCAGGAAACGCACCACGGTGAAAGAGAAAGACACAGAAAAACAAATACAGTAACTAACTCCTAAAGAAGCACTTAAAATTCAGGAAATTTAAAAAAGGACATTTTTTTTAAGCACTCCACTTTATGTACCCCAGTTTCAGAATATATCAGATCTGTGAGATATAAAGTACTCTGAGAAAAAGAGCAACCAAAGAATGGAATAGAGTTCTGAAACACTAAAAGCATGACTACTTAAATAAGAAAATTCATTGAAAGTATTGGAGATAAAAATCAAGGAAATCTAGAATATAAGATATAAAGACATAAATGGAAAATATGGGAAAAATTAAAGAGTTGTGTAGAGCCAATCCAACTAACTAACATTGAATCAGTAGAAGAGAAAGAGATTTTTTTTTTTTTAAGTGAGGAAAAAAAAATGAAGAATAAAAACTAGGAGGAACTTCCTTAGTAGTCCAGTGCTTAAGAATCCACCTTCTCATGCAGGGGATGTGGGTTTGATCCCTGCTCTGGGACCTAAGATCCCACATGCCATAGGAC